CGCGCGAGTCAGCAGACATTTGTAAACGTGGACGAAGCCCTACGAGCTTATTCGGAATTTGACCGGTAAAAATATTACGCTGTTACCGCCAGAGCCTAAATTGTCCGATTTTTACAAGCCTTCCGAAGATCAAAAGAATCGCGAGTTTGTTTGGATTTTAGGCGGGACGGCCTCGGTCAGTTTTTTAGCGTATCGATTTGCGTAACTTTATTTTTAAATGGAACCAAAATTTTCATAGTTGTTTTACAGCCCGCAAGGCTACTGGCGAGGAGAAAGCGCGGTCGATCATCTACACGAAAAGACCTGTGCGGACAAATCAGTTATCCGGAACTGGCTAAAAAAGCAGGCCATTTGGCAAATATATTTACCAAAACCAAATTACGTACCCAGACCTACAATGTTGCAATCAGAATCGGTCGAACCGAGTTAAAAGAAAAACGTTTACGTACGCTTTAACCGTGGTAGACGTGGGTTCCCGGTATAGAGAAGCCGAGCCGTTGACCAGTAAAACCGCCGAGCAAGTGAGCGAAGCGAGCAAGAAAATTTACGAGCGATCACCTCTGACCTGGCCCAAATTCGTAATGATAGACTCGGGATCTGAATTTAAAGGCGAGTTTAAGAAGCTAATGGCAAAACACGGGGTAAAAATGTAAGTGGGTGAGCCAGGTGTGCACAGATCGCAGGGGATCGTGGAAAGGTTTAACCGCACTTTAGCTGAGCGTTTATTCGCCCACCAATACGCTCAAGAAATGATAAACGTGAGTGAGCGAAACGCTGAATGGGTAGAACGTTTGCCCCAGGTCGTGAAATCGTTAAATGAGGAAAAAACGCGTTTAATCGATGACGTTCCCGCCAAAGCTATAAAATTAGGCCGAGTGAAACAAACACCGAGTGCACCTGTAAGAACGACCCAAACAGAACTTCCTCCAGACGCGGTCGTTCGGTACCTTTATTACCCGGGCGAGCAAGAGGGCGGCACCGTCAGAAGGGCGACAGATCCGGTCTGGTCCGTGGACGTTTACCAAATTGAAAAGCGCACCAGTCAATTTAAACGGGTGAATGGCAAGCGGATAAAAACGGGCCCAACTTTATATTATCTGTTAAACGGACCAAATAGGAGTTTTGTCAAAGAGGAACTTCAGGTCGTACCCGAAGATACCGAATTACCGCCTGATTAGCTTATGCCCGTAAGCTAACGTATCAACCCTGTGTGACAATACGTAGCGCTTTGTGTCCAACGGCGAGAGGCTTAGTTTGTTTTGCGACACGGTGAACATCTGATGTTTATCTGATCTAAATAGCTGCTGTTTATTGAAATGAGAAACCCGGTCAAATGGGCAGCTTTTATACATCTCGTGGGTTAGGGTCGCTTGAGTTACTACTTTTGTGACCCCTTTCGCCTTCTTTAAATTTTGATCGGTAGTTAAGATCGAATAAATTTTTGGGCGTATACAAACGACCTCTGAAATTATTTGGCCACCAAATTCGTTTTTCATTTTGCCTATTACTTTTTTTATTTTTTGAATCATAAAGTCGATGACCTGGCGGGTAATTACGAAAGTCAAATAATGTACGCTTTTTACTCAGGTAGCCGTTTAAATCGTGCTTTTGTAAAGAATGTAAAGACCGTCTTTTTTAGTGTAACCAAACACATTGATCGCTAAGTTATTTTGCGATTCGATACGTGGTATCTGAGATATGGGTGTTGGAAAGCTTATGTCTGTAAAATTTAAACCATCTGATTCTGACCTGTAAGTCGATGTTCGCTCCTTATTTATTTTATATTTTGGATTTGTTTCTAGCTGGCTTTTGACGTTGTCAGAATATAATTTTAAAGCTGCCCGCAACGCCCATCGGATACATTCTTGATCTTTATTTTCGACATTTATGATTGCTTTTTGTCTCCCAATTCTTTAGGCAACGGAATGTAAGAAGAACCCATTGGATTATATTCAACCACGTTGATGTACAAAGCGACGACTTTGTCAAAGATCCAACCCGAGCCTTTTTGTGTATGAGCCTCCACCTCTTTTATTTGCGCTTCGCGTTGTTCAGTTCAGCGTTTTTAACGTCGGCTTTATTTGCGCCTGCATCGTTGTCGCTCGGAAAGGGGAATACGCCAAATTCAGTTTTTCCGGGTTTTTCCAATCTAAACTGAACTTTGATATTTGTTTGCAATTTGTACGAACCAATTTCTTTTAGTTCTTCCAAAGCTTTTTTTCTCGATGAAAGTTTTGTAAAAATCAAAAAAGTGTATCAAATCGTATTCAAAGAAACGGGATATCAATTCCCAATTGCGAAAATTACCCTGAAAGCGCCTGACGTTTCTAATGTCGACTTCCGCAATTTCCTCGGGCTGAGTGTAAGCTTTAATCGGTTCAATAAAGTCCTGTTTGATATATTTCTCTTTCCTTGCAAAAGGAATATTATATTTTTGAACCGTTTTCAACAGCTGCCGATATGACTGACGCGGGAGATACCTAAATTGTTTTTGATCTGCCCGTATGGCTTCAATAAGCTGAGATCTACGCTTGGGTGCCGGTAATGAGATGTTATAACGCTTAAAAAGATCTTCTAAAAACGCCTTCTTAAATCGATTAAAAGTCGTTAGTAGAGGTCGGTGTTGTGGATTGCTCATGTCTCTATTTATATGTAGGTCTCTAAAATTTTTATCATTTTTTCTATCGACTTGACTTGAAATGTTTTTTTATATATTGTTATTTTTATATATAGGTCATTTATTTAAGGCGGTTGTAAACATAGCGTGTTTTGCTTTGAACAAAGCCACACTTTAAGTAGAGGTCACGAGTTCAGGCCGGGCAAGTCTCGACTTGTAGCAAGGGGAAGTCCCTTTTTTGTTTGTCAGTGATTGCTGATGGTGCGATCGGTGCTGGTCACGAGTTGTTTACAGGAAAAGTGCACCGGGGGTCAAAGGTTCTATAACTGGAAATCCCCGGTGCGAGTGGGTGAAAGGGAGTTTTGGCTCAGAAGGTGTATATTTACCCGGTATTTTTAGAGCCGGATTTTGGGGTCGATGAGGTACCCAGGGAAAATTGTTAAAATCTGGAATTCCAGATTTTTAGGGGATTCCCCCGATTTTTTGAGTCGATATACTACCCGGGTTTTTTTTTTTTGCTGAAAACGGTGAAAAAGGGGGTGTGCTCCACAATCGGCTATTCCCTACTACTCCTATTCGGCTTTCCTTTTTTTTAGCGCATGCCGCCTGCAAGGTGCACTATATTTGCCATCTGATTGCAGTTTTCGACGGGCGTCGCATTTTTCAATGAACTTTGACCTCCACACAACCATTTCTGAAGCAAGATTTGACGGGAGAACCCCCGCCTTTGTGTTGGTCATTGTTTGATCGGAATCTCAGGAATTCTTTACAGACTTCTTGGGGGGACTCTGTGTTAGGTAACGATAGTCTGGAGTGTGTATAGGGATTGGACAGGTAAGGGGGGGACCCTCCGTCTCATATCTTGCCTGGTAAAACCATGGAGGAAGAAACACAGCCTGTAGCCTACATCATATGTACTGTACATGCTGTAGCCCCCGACCTGTGTAGAAATGTATACGTTGCTAAAACCACAATGCTTGCAGCGAGGTGAACTTCCACGAATAATTAGGTTCATTAAAGGGCTGTTAATTTATTCACATACAGTTAATCGACGCATACATGCTAATTTAGCCGTTTCTATAATCAGTAAAAATATGTACGCATACCTTAGCATCCAAGTCAACTTCGCCAGGCCCAGCTGGACCAAGGTTGACCATTGATGATTAATGGCTTATTCACATTGAAAGACAACGCCCGACGAAAAATGCGACGCCCGTCGACTGAAAAATGCGACGCCTGTTAAAATATCCGACGCCGGCTAAAAAAATGCGACGCCGGTGGAAAAATGCGACGCCCGGTCGAAATGCGACCAGGTGGCACTTGGAACACTACTATAGTGCACCGACCAAAACTGAATAACCAGTCTTGGGACAAGACTTTACAGGGCCATCGATCGCGATCGGTACGGTACATGTACTTGTAATTGTACGTACCTGCATGATCGATCGTGACGTACCCGTACCTAATTTGTGCAGAATAGGATCGAGCGTCGTATCTACGTAAAGGTTAACTTCACCTGAAGTAGGGACAACTTTTGCATGTGTTGCTTTTGCATCTCAAACGGGCAAACTGGGCCAGTCCTCTATTTGATCTCCCACACGTCGATGTAATTTTTTGCCTTTGCGCGGGCGGAGTAGACCAAATCAAGTGTCATGGCGGCCGAAAGGTTGGAAGTCCTACGCCGACACTTATCATTAGGGAGTGCGGCAAAATCATTGAAGCCGTACACACTCCTTGTATCCTTTGTGATTTTACGAACTTTCAACAGGCATAGTTTAATTATACATCATGGGCTAGCTCAGATTTTGAGGTGAAGTTATGGCAACAAACAGAACTGTTGAAGAGCACCATATGTCATACTTGGATGGTCATTCACCATGGAATTCTACCTCCATGGTATAACTGTAAGCATGCATGGTATGAGTTGGACCGGACAGATTTTACTTATTGGGGTAATCCTGCAGTTGGGTGAATTAATATGATGTCACTCGTCCAGGTAGGTGAGTCTGAAAGCTTTTAACCCTAACCCCTATGGTGTATGTGTAGGCCTACATCATACATGTATATAAAATCATTTCAAATTGGAGGATTGAGGAATATTGGTATTAGGCGGAAAAGGGGTCCCAAAATCCACAGTGCCCTTACTTACTACTACCAGTATCCTTGTTGAATGCAGTCTTTGAAAATGCACAAATTTTAAATTTTGCGAAACCCCTTTCATGACTACAAATTATGTAGAGCAATTAAATAGCAAGCTTCATGAATCACAGGCAACAAAACTGTATGTAAGAGACTGACATCAAGTACACGTTTTGCACAAATTTAATTTAAGAAGGTCCTTAGATACAGATATTATTATCCCCATGTTTTATTTGAATTTATTTACAACAAATGCACACTTACTCGAGCCCATCCCAGTATTACAAAACTATTGCCCCCCCCCACGGACATGTTAACACATACGCATAATCTTTATTGTTGGGTCCATTTCCATGTGTGATATGTGCTGCATGTGAAGCGTGGCACATACTTACTGGGCACAGGTACATGTATATGCCGGCCATAACACATAAGATGAAATTTCACCCGTTAGTTTCTACCTGTAGCTTTTTATGTATACCTGTATTGCCTCTTGAGTGAGAACTTTACATGTAATTCCCTCTAAAATAATTCCTTATAAAAAGGAGGATCCCAGAGAAAACAAAAATCACAGAATATAAGGATATTGATATCACCCCCCAAAATACTCAGTATCAGTACTAGTTTCCAAGCTTGACTGGTGCCCTGTAATTGAGACAGCTCAAGACTTCTGAGGAAATGGGAACCAGTTTATGCCAGAATTCCTGCCCAGTCGAACAGTAACCATCATACATGTACATGTACATGTAAGTCTCCCATTAAGCATTGCCCAGTTTAATTTGAGGCACAAAACTTGAACACGTTCAAAGATTACGCTGAACACCATCATACTCGCCCAACAATAAAGTTTTAAGGAAATGCATTTGTTACTGCATGGTCACTGTCGTCACATTTTTATAATTTTGAGGCCCTGTAGATCCAATTAAAATATTGGGGGGGAATGTGGGTCTGATAAACATGTGTTTGCCAATTGATGGTTTCATGCACTATGTTGGATTCAGAAAGCAAGCATATTCAAGGAAGGATTCTAACAAAAATGCCTCATGTAGGGGTTGAGAGTTAATTTGTTGCTGATTGTAACATGCTAGAAGTATAAATTCAGGGAGTAATCCTTAACTGATGGCAATTTTGCAGTCCAGGAACGAGACCAGTTCAGTCTCGGTCAACCCAACAGTCATCCAGTATGTATTACCCAACTCACTGCTGACCCCAGAACAAGTGGCTTCCTATGAAAGGAATGGTTTTCTCGTCATAAGAAACCTTGTGCCTCACGACAAAATTGATGAATACAGGTACATGTACATGTATGCCTACACCAATGCGTGTCACTTGAGTTGTTTTCTCTAGGCTGGTTGTCCTTTCTTAAAATTCTTGAAATATTTATGTGAACAATTGTATTTTCATTGAGATGTTTATTGTTAAGGCTGAATCAGTTTGATGATTGAATATAAGAATTATGCTGTACAAGTACATGTACCAATTCTAAATTTCCACAAAAGATCTGAACAAAATATACAAGGTAAACAAAAAGATAACAGTAGTGCTTTGATACTTTTTCTATTTCTTAGACCTGTATGATAACAAGACCTTTGATCCGTTCTTATCAAATCATTGTATGCTAATGTACATTTCTGATGAACCATACTCATTTGGTGCAAATATAATCATTGAAAAAAAGTAAAATAACTATTTTTAGGATGTTCTACTATGTGGGGACCAAAATAGTTGCTTTAAGTTTGGCTTGAAAGAAACCTTTGCAAACAGTAAAGAAAAAAATTGAAGCCTGTAAACGGCATGTCAATTAGTTAATTACATGTACATGTGTACTTTAAATGAATATTTTTGTTGATGTTCAAGTGTTATACATGTAGGTACATTGTACATGTACATGTATTATATTTCTACAAAAAAAAATAATCATTAAAAAGACACACTTTATGGTTAAATTTCTGAGATTGACAGGTAGGAAGGGACATGTACATGTAGGCATCTTCCACATTACAACGTACGTGTACGTGTACATGTATAATCTGAAATACCTGGTAATATAATGGTTGAAAACTTGAAACTGCCTTGAGCTGATTTTAGACCCACAGCTAATATACTGATGGCATTGAGGAAATAAAAACGGGTGTTTTTTCCAAATCGCAGAACCTTTCATGCAACATCCTTGGCTAGAGGCAATGTTTCAGCCTGATGGCAAATCTATCTTTGGGACCTTTGTCTTGTTGGCTTTATTGAAGTTCTGACTGTAACTTTGTATGTCAGAGTGCATTGCAATACATTTTAATCAAATTTGATACTACGTTTTCATTTTAAGACATATTTGGACATTGAAACATCAAATACTGTCAACAGCCCTGACAGGAGAAGAAGAATGCCGATTACTATCGTCTTACAATTTGACAATTTTGGCTGGATTTTTGGATTTTATTTCCTTCAAGGCAACGATTTGCAGACATCTGCAGTCGGCAAGTGGACACCGAGGGCATGGTGATCATGCGTGATGTTGCCATTGCCAAATCTGAGTTTGTGCCGGGAGAACAGGCTGTCACGAAAATCCAAGAGTTCCAAAGTGATCCAGTACTGTTTAAATACTGCTGCTTACCAGAGGTAGGTGCCTTTATTTGTGTTTTCTCACCCCCAGTTCCCTAGGCCTTATTGGCTTGGATACAGTACCTCAAAATCCCCCACCTGCCTCCAGGTAAACATTGGATACAACCTTAGTCCTCCATAATTTTTTCATGCGTACTTTTTAGGGGTGATTTTCAATATCCTCTGTTAATTCCACTCATTATATTGAGGCAGTGCAAAAGGCATCCTTAATTAGTGTGGGTTGCTTCATATATAATCCAGGCCTGAAGTTATGAATGCATTCACAACACACTTCGGCAGTCAGCCTCACTTTTTTGCCGTTCATCTCCGAAAACCCGACCAGATGATTTTGGAAGATTGAGGAATGTTTTGGGTAAAGTTAACAGTGCATTAAATCCAACAAAGTTGGAAAGAATTGCTGAATTCAAGTAAGAACAATTAATCCGTATGCCCAGGGTTTGAGTGTCCCTTGGCTTTCAGAAAGCACAGCAGAGGTACGAAAGTCGTTCTTTGTGTAAAAAACACCATAGAAAGCTTGCTGGTTTAAGTTCTCAAGGCATCTTTATCTATATCACAAAGGAGGAAGGCCTGCTCACTTATGAGGGGCTCTTCCATTTAAACGTTGACAAGAAGGCTGGTTATCTAACAGCATCTTAACATTTATGTCACATAAGAACTCATTTTCCAGTGATGTACATGTATGTCTTGTACATATTTCTTCAGGTCTTGAAGTACGTTGAGTGTTTCACCGGGCCCAACATCCAAGCCATGCATACCATGCTGATCAACAAACCTCCAGATCCTGGTAAGCGCATTACATCCACAACTTCATATTTTCCAGTGTCAAAGTTGTTGGTTGCTGTTGGAGCCTTCCTGAGTCAAAGTTGGCCAAAGTGACTCTGGAAGCAGTGTCGTTCAAGCCAAAATGGTGAGACTTTTTGATGGAGAGCACAAGTACATGTACATGTATTCAAGAAATGCCGTGATAGTTTCAGGCATCTTCAAACTCAAATTGGAGTCCAAATACTTATCGAGTGCTTTGACATTGTTTCAATCTCTAATTAAATACTGCCTTGTCAGTTAGGCCTTGGCAAACTTTTGTCACTACTGTCTGCAGAGCCAATGCGTACATGTAACCTTCCACACCTAAATAACCAACAGCTTGCCAGCAGGGCAGCGCACTTTCCTTTGTATATCAGTGCATCCACCCTCATTATTCTGCCACCAGCTTTTGAATCTGTTGTAGCCAGAGTACACATATCAATCAGCACTCTGCATTCCCTTGGCAGTATCTGATCATTGGTGGTACTGCTTGCTTGTTCTCCCCATTTTATCCAGCAATGTATAGCTGAGCACCCGTCTTAAAGCTTCATCATTTCTCTACAGAACATTTTTCAAACTAGACTTCTGTTTTCATTATATCAGCGGGCATAAAGGATAAATGTAGTGCATTTTTTTACAAAGGACAGTAAATGAAAATGCACCGTTGTGTTGCATTTAACATTATTTTCATGTGTTTAATATTGGTTTTTTAAAACTGTGATGTCATCACACCAGCGAGGAAAACCTCAATGTTGATATTTTACTGTTTCAAATATCCTTTTACTGTTGCTTCATTGGTGTTAAACACATGCACATAGCAATAAGCTAGTGAGCTACCCTGTCTTAAAAATGTTCAATGAGCAACTTTTGGATTCACAGTGTGAACAGAACAACCAGAGAACTGAGCTACATGTATGTTTCCCCTGATCGCAATCACAGCAGGAGCATGAACAATAAATCTCACCCCAAGCATGTCAAATTGTTGTCACATGCTTAAGAAATATGTAAAGTTGCATAAAAAGTTGTGTCCTAGAAAACGTCATCGCCTGGACCCTCAAATTCACTTCTTGGATAATTCATCAATCAGGCACAAGGTCCTCCCGCCATCCCATGCACCAGGACCTGCACTACTTCCCATTCAGACCGGCCGAGCGTATCGTCTGCTCCTGGACAGCCATGGAGAGAGTGGACCGTTCTAACGGTTGCTTGGTGGTGCTTCCTGGCACACATAAGACTGAGCTGTTACAGCATGAGTACCCACAGTGGGAGGTACGTTCTATTTGGGCAGTTGGGAGGGGGACATTTTTGCTTCGAGCTAAATTCAAATGCTTACTCCAAAACAGTTTTGGTCATGGTTGCCAGAGCCAGCCCTTACTCCAAAACAGTTTTGGTCATGGCTACGGGGCGCTGCTCTGTAGCGACCACCATTGGCACTTGGTGTCCGTCTTGTACAAGTGACTGTCTCTGTTCTAGCCCAAATTGTAGTATAATTAAATGCAGATGACACAAGTTATTATAGGCTATTCAACCGACGATTCAATCTCTTATTTAACGGAGATAGCAAAGTTTGTGGAGTGGTGTGACTGCCATTTCATGTTTATTAATACCGAGAAAACTAAGGAGATGATTGTGGATTTTCGGCACAACACAGGAGCTCATGAACCTGTTTATATTAATGACAACAAAATAGAAAGGGCTACTGTGATGACAAACTTAACTGGAACAAAAACACCCAGGTAGTCTTTGGCAAGGCCATGCAATGGATGTTTTTCTTTCACAAGCTCAAACAGTTTAATGTTGACAGGATGATCTTACGTCTATTCTACCAATTCATGATACAGAGCATTGTTCCTTTTAACGTAATTAGTGTGTATGGTTCACTTTCACCAAAAAACAGGGATAGGTTTAAGCGTGTTTGTAAAATGGCTCAACGCTCGGTAGGTCTCACCTTGCCAACATATGACAATATCTGCTGGGAATGTTTTATATCTAATGTACACTGTACATGTTATTCTATCAGATCCAACTCATCCTTTTTTTAAGTGTTTTGTTTTTAATAGATCCGGTTTTAGACTTTGTGAGCCTCGTACAAAGGTAGCTCGATACAGTCAATCCTTTGTTCCCAGCTCTATTCATTTATTTACCAAATCAGCTGTTCGTAAATTAGGGATCTAATTAAGGAGCTCCCCTACACATGACGAGTTTGTGGATTTTCCGGTAGTTTTTATTTGTACATGTATGTTAATAATTTTTATTTGAGTTAATTTGTTTTAGGTGGTTAGTCTCATTGGTTAAATATTGTAAATTATTGTCTATTTTTAAGTACATGTACCAATTTTTATATTTGGATGTGCCAATGGAAACAAAATTTCTGTATTTTTTATGATGCGGATAGTAAAATATCTCATCTCGTCTTGTCTCGTCTCGTCTCTAATGGCTGCCAGAGCCACCCCTTACTCCAAAGCAGTTTTGGTTGTAGTTGCCAGAGCCAACCCTTTTTCATGTACGTGTAAATGCTTCATTAGCTGTCTATGTTTTATTTTCAGTGCAGAAGTGCAATCCAGGTAGATGTACACAGTGTACAGTTCACATGGAATGGACAAATATAAACTGTGAAATTGGTTGAATGTAGCAATTAAGAGACTTTATGATTACTGTAATAAATACAGGTACATAATATGAAATTAATAAAAGGTAGAATATCAGAGAATTGTATTGAAGAAGTGAAATAATGCAACAACTATGTACTATTATTAAGGAAACATCAGACAGAGTAAGCTTGGTAGGAGATCTGCTTATTAGTTGGAAGCTGTTGTTGGAATGGATGTACATGTACATTGCACGTTCGCCCAAACTGGCACTGTGGTTGCAGAGACTGCACATGTGTGTTGACCAGTAGTTTATTGATGGGACAAATTTGTTACGGGGGCAATGTGTCTCCCAAAATTTGGTCCCCAATTTCCTGGCAAAAGACATTGACCCATCATCAATATGGGGCTTGCCAGGGCACGGGCACATGTATTCGGTACATTTATTGTGCATGTCTCACATATGACTAGCCTGTGTTTATCTGTACATGTTGAATTTTTAAATGCCCATGTTGCAACTAAATGTGTCTATGTTCCCCCAGGGTGGTGTGAATAAGATGTATCACGGTATCCGCGACTACTCCCCTGACCACCCGCGTATGCATCTTGTCATGGAGAAGGGTGACACTGTCTTCTTTCATCCTCTTTTGATTCATGGCTCTGGCATGAACCGTACCCAAGGATTCAGAAAGGTATGCCTGCCACCAAAAAACCAATCTGCTCTGGCTAGAAGCACCTGTTTTTCTTGACGAGCAGTACCATGAAATTCAGTTGACACTGTTTTTAAAAGTGAATCACACAGCTGTGTTTTTGAAATCACCTGCAAGAAGTGTTTGTGCTGACACACTTCGATAAATAGAATTCACAGTCATTTATTTTCTGTGTCAAATCGTGACACTTGCACCAGATGGATGATTGGCTAAATGCACATAAGGCATTATTCTTGTTCTACAAATGTTATGCTCAGCATATTAAGTCTGTGGGTCATTTCAAACATTCTACTGATGTGGAGATTTAAATTAAAGGCAGTTCTGTACCATCCCTTTTAGAGGGGTGGATCAAAACCTAAATTTTCGGGAGGGGGACAATTTGGGAGCCAACATTTTAGAAATTGCTTTATGTAACCTTTTTTGTTATTTTTAAGGATGGGGCAATTTTTAAAAAATTTTTTGTTAAAGGAGCAGGAAGGACATGATCGCCCCCAAATGGCATTTTTTTTCCTCATTATTTTCCAAACATTTGCTGTTGTGGCTGTGTTGCCTCCTAGAACCTTCAAATCTGCCAATGCCCAATATTTCCAAATCTACCTGTACAATTACACAGGATAGGGTTTTGTAATTAAAATCTACAGTTGGTTGTACACGTAGAATTTGCATGTTCCATCATTTCTGCATGTACATGTACACGTTACTACTCAAAGTCACATATAACCCATATGCAATTGTTTGTCATGGGCAGTTTTTATAGCATTGTTCTTATGTTTTCTGATATGGGCATGTTGATAAAGAGGGGATTATTGCAGTTGATTGTTTGACTGTTTTATTCATCCCAAACTTGGTGAACACAGAAAAAGATTCTGACTCCAAACTGTATTGATTGATATTATATTTTGGAGCAGGGAGTCAAAATTGTTTTGGGGATCCAAAAATGTCAGAAAATTTCTTAATGTATTCTTCCATGGCCTTTGTGAGGGTTAGGGCTACAGTTTTGGACTTTGCACATTCTTTTGGAAGGAAGGGAAGTGAAAAAGTCATCCCAAATTGCCTTTTTTGCTTTTTATTCAAAATGAAAAAAAATTGCTGCTGGGGAAGGGGATGTTATGTCCCATGTTGCCCAATTTTGATTTAAAAATGATTTTTTTTACTCAGTATTGCAAAGCATGCACAGTGGCGGCCATGTTGAATGCCCCCCACGACTGCACACGTTCCCGTTACAGCACCCCGATATAATGTTCATCTGGCTCTTTTTTGCAACAGTGGCTGTTTCCCCATTGACTGTGTACATTAATTTTTTTGTTACAATGCTTTCTTTACAGCACTTTCAAGTCAAAATACATGTATCTTGTCCTGGATAAAAACATTCAAAGTATTGAGGTGTGATTTTTTGGTATTAATTGCCCAGCAGCACATCAGCTGAAGTGGTTTGCCTTCATGGACCCACTCTGTGATCCCGGCGATGGTCCAACAGAAAATGGGGCTTTGCTAAACCCTGAAAGTATGTGCACTGCGACCACTACGTGCACTGCGATAAATGCACAAAATTAAAAATTACCCATGCATGAAAAGCAATGTAACCCGCAAGAATACTTCTGCAGTTTATCATGAGAATGGTTATTGGGTTCTTGGAAAACCTGTACAAACTTTAATCACCTTTTTGTTCCTCTCAGGCAATTTCCTGCCACTATTCATCAGCCGAGTGCCATTACATCGATGTGCAGGGGACCGTCCAGCAGAACATTGCTGATGAGGTTATTGAAATTGTCAAGAGGAAATATGGCACAGATCTGGATTTCAAATTTGAGGTTAGAAGACACTCATGACACTGACAGCAGTTTGACATTTTTGCATGAGCTAATGTGCTGCAGGGTCCAACCTTTTGTTTTCATCATTCCCTTCAGCATGCAAATGTTTGTTCTCCTGTGGCCTGTCTGCTGAGACTGTTTATAATCACTTTGTATTGGGGTTATTTTAGAACAAACCGGCCTCAGAAATGGGATTTTTTGGCAGCCAAATAGTATTTATGGCAATGGCAAGATGTATGGGCCAAATGAAGTCAAATGCTGACATTTGAGAGTTGTGTACCAGCCAAGTCATGGTACCAACCAACCTCCTCATCGGAGGAATCTTGTATAAAGTATGCATTGTGTTCCAAATCCATGAGAAGTTGGGAACCACTGAAGTGTGAGGTGGTTTGAACACATCACCCGCTACTGCGGATAGCTGAATACATTGGCAGACCATACCCTCTTGAAAACTGTCATGGGGAATTGTTGCATGTTAAAATGTCTTGGGCCTGAAGTTGCTAAGCTTATTTTGCCTTTGCAATTTTATTTGTGTATATTCTTAGAATATTGTCCTCCAGCTGATGCCAAGAATCACATCAAGACTTGATGAGGAGATTTGCGCTATATGTTATCAGTAGAAGATTAATGTTCATGGTTATACTCCCTGGAAATATTTGTTATCGGGTAGAGAAATGGTTGTAATGCAGACTGACGTATCTCCCCATCCACTCCCAAAAAGAGGTAACAAAGCCCCAAAGCGTAGAGAGCAAAGCTCATTATTTTTTTAAGGAGCCATCATCTTTTCCTCTTCTTTTTCAATATTCATCGTTACCTGTTCTCTTGCAGGATGCCTGGAGGTTTAAGAGTCGTTTAGTTCAAGGGCAGGAAGTCAGCTTGTAGAGACCAGAGTCCAGGAGGCCAGTTTTGGAGGATGGAGTGAGTTCATGAGGAGACCATCCTAATAGGCAGACCACTGGATCAAGGCTGTAAGAGGTTGTATGATAGTATCCAAATTTAGTATGCAAATGGAATTTTAAAATCTCACAAGGTTATTTATAATATAACTCAATGTACTTTGAATGGTAAACAAACAGGAAAAAATATTTTAAATTGCAAGGAAATAAAGTTTTCTTTATTTTTCCCCATTCTCCTGAGGTGATTGCAGTATGGTGCATTGTATTTTTTCAATGGACACTCCATATTATGCTATATTTAATCAGTTTACTGTGTACACACACCACGTCTGTGATGATGAGGGCGAATTTTTCTTGTCTCTTTAATTTGTAACAGTTTAAACTGTCATAAATTGTCGCAGAAATACAAATAATATAAATCAAATCAGCAACCTAAATTGTTGCCAAAGATGTTAAAACCAGCTTTGGTATTCAGAGAGTAGAAATGATATGTACACCTAACCATTTGAACCATATTTGGAGATCAAAGAGGGTTTCAGTCGTGAGCTGTGAGAAAGCAGGTTTGCTTGTTGGACCTTAAGTTAAATTAGCGGTTCTTTGGCACTAGCTTATGTGTTACCAAGTCACTGCTAATTGATTTATGGTCATGTTTTGTGCATAGTATAATTAAAGTTCGCACAAGTTTGTTGCTAATTAATTAAGGTCCTGGGTATTGTATTATCTTCAAGCAAACTTGAATCCTCACTTCTCATTGATCGACAACAATGTGACATCACACTGTATCGCAACATGCACCCTGTGCATTATGCTGTTCTGACTCTGTAATTTTATAATTATGCAAAATGTGCAGTATAGCTGCAAATCGTGCTGATCACCAAGTGCATTTAAACATGCACTCCTTTGAGTATAGACAGCATGCTTGTTTCATCTCTACTGCGTGTTGAGTTTACCGAAAGATATTGTGCTCGCATGTGTAATAATTATCTCTGTATTTAGTAAGCAGATTGTATGTTTTATTATCCATGCCCTACAATATTGTAATGATTTGAAGCTTGTGGAAGTTTTTGTGGTCAGCTAATAAAATGAATCTGGGAGTGAGCACATAAAATGAATCTAGGAGTGGGTGACATTTTTGGCACTGGTTGCCAGTGGCGTAACTAGGAGTAAATGCCGGGGGGTGACCCGGAGATGCACACACTTTTCAAGGGGGCACTAGAAGAAAATAAGCTGCTGTTGCATGGCTATATCAATGAAGATTATTCAAAGATTTCAAATGGTGGGAGGGGTGCGGGGGGGGGACAGGCATCTGCCGAGGGCGCGCCCCCCTCCTCGTAGTTATGCTACTGCTGGTTGCAGTTTGTTTAGAATTTCCAATTTTTCCAACGTTTCCAATTTCTCTATGGGTCATCAGTCTCTTCCTGGGCGATATCCAAGGATGCCCCTATGATACAGTTTTGTTTCCCAGTACAGGTTAACACAGGTGATGTATTCAGTGTATGACATTAACATGCTTTGAGATTAAAGTTTGCAATCTAAATGAAATACGTTACTCTTTTTCCGTGTCATGAAAAGATTTTGACGTTGAAGTTGAAAGAATTTCATACAAAGGTACCAAAATACATGTATACATTCATGAGTAATACTGCCCAATTTGTGAAAACAAATAGTTTTTATAGTGTTTGATCTTACACGAATACTAGTGGAAGAACAGCAGGTCATGATGTTGGTGTCATCGCGTTAAACGGGTGGTGATGAGTAAAGGCTCAGATTTTTAAAAAATTGTCACTCAGTGGTCCAAACTCCAGCGTTCAGAAGTTTCCAAGAGATATTGACTAGCCCAGGCTGGTTTTTGATGATTGTATTCTTTTAAAGAAAGTTCAATTATTTATTTAAGTAATTCGACAATGGATTTGATTGTCAATTATTCAAATGGGGTTCAAAATCCCCTTGACGCTATGACTTTGCAAAAAGTGTCTGTGCAAGAAGGCACTTGGGGTGCCCTGGAGTTCCTTGTAGGACATGGGGAACACGCTTTTGGATGTCAGCTGCCTCAAATATTCTTGGCTGCACACTTTTTAGCGAATTTCCCCCCTCCGCAAACTATATAGGATTTTCAGCGCATTACAAATCTAACCTTTTTCCTTGAACAGATAACAATGTGTGTGAGGTTATGCGTGTTGAAGTTCACATCATATTACATATATCATATATATGGGTTTAGATACATTTTCATCCAAAAATATTACATACAAAAAGATATAGTTTTCGTGCATGCGCATTTTCAAACCTTTTTATTCGGTTTATTTCAAACCGTTTATTCGTCCAAATTTATAGTTAACTTCAAAATTGTTTGAAAATTCACTACTTTTCGTATCCCATGTTTAATTTCTTGTTGCTCGTTTTTGCACCTTTTCTCAAACAATTAGGCCTACTTTTCATGACAGATGATGTGATTTCATCTTCCTCAATTACCGGACGTACTGCAGATGAAATTTTGCGATCGATACAGATTTCGTTAAAATTTCTCACGATTCATTGTACTCTTCTTAGTTTTTAAGTCTCATCTGTTCATTTCTGCTCACTGATTGTTAAGACTGTTTAACATGATATGTAGGCCGACCAAATAATATAATATGTATAATGTGTAACCCGACCAAATTTCGTTGCTAAGAAAGTAGCGCCCTCTTGGTTCAGCTCGCGGCCACAGTCATTGGTCATTCCCAAACCATGTCAATGGTCTATCGTTTCAAGACAAATTTGAATTTAATCGTTTATGACAGTGAACGAAATAAGTTTGAAAATGTGCAAAAAATCTATATTTCTGAGACAAATTAACAGTGTCAACAACTCGAAGAAATAAGGTCTAGCAAATGAAATTGTACAGTTCTACGTCATGCAAAAATAAGTATGACTATACTTCTGAAAACAAAACTCCTTTGCATTTTTATATCTTTCACAGTCTATTCAGTTCTTATATCCTTCGGATTGGCTGTTAAACCTTCCATTTCTTGTCTTGCAATATACACACTGTCAAATATGTCTCTGCATGGTTGTGCACAATCCGATGAATTGGATCAAAACATTCTTGAAATCGTGGACTCACGAATTGAATCTCTACATTACGTGTGTGATCATGAGAGAGAGAACGAATTCCTTTGAAATGTGACGAAATTGAATTGACAGATATTGGGAAGATGGTACATAGGCCCTTTATTAAGCCTTCGTCAGGTATGTTTTTTGATGGTGTTTCTGGACACTTTTTTGACGCAAGGTTATTATTTAAACTTTCCAGTTGTGGCATAAAGTTACACGCTCCATGGCGAAAGCTCAACGTGGCTTTGGCTTAGAACACTGAATGCTGGAGCTGTGTAGTCGAGTTCACGACCAGTGCTAGTAAATTTGCAGTCTATAGTCTAGACACATTTCTATTCGAATGAACGATTACAAAAGTAGTCCTTTTTTCATGTTACATGTAGACGACTTGTGTTGTGAGTGCTTTACGAAAAGCCCTTGACTGTAGAAACGCACTTCACTCCCGTGGAATGCTAAAGGATTCAGGATGCAAACTCGGTGCAGCCTGTTGCAAGGCCCCGACAAACTGCAAGGCTCCGTCCAACTCGACGGCCTTGCTCATGTAGACCTGGACGCTGCATTTGGTCCCCCAGGGAGGCAGAAACGCGCCCAAGTTGATGACGCGATTGTCGATGGACGCAGTCGTAGCCTGTTGGGGTTGCCATCTCTCGCGGTATTTCTGTGGCTTTGTGGATCAGGTGAAATCAACATACATGATAAAAAATACTTTCCATAGATTCATAGTAATAGAATACGTTTTATTTACACTTAAAATGTACATGCAGTCGCAGAAAACCAAGTATGCGACTGCTGTTGTCAGCAACCTTTTTGAGATTATGGGATTTGGGAATGGACACTGCGATTTCTCTTTGTAAAATGGAAGTCAAAACAGTGAGTGGGGCAACTCACCGAGCACAGTTGCAAGCATTGCTCGACAGTATCTGGAAAGAAACCTTGGATTCTTGCCGTAACACTACAGCCGCTGACGGTGCTGAAGTCCGCGCCCCTAAAACACGACAGTGGGATGCTCTCGTAGCGGAGACTATGCACCTTGTGACCTCTGACACTGTAGGCATTAGTCCTTACTGTCCCCTCTCTTGTCAAGTTGAGACCTGTGAGGAAATTTGATGTAGTTTTAGGATGCTTTTTTTTTAAAGACTTTTAAATGGTGGAGATGTTTGGTCGTGGACTGTGGAGACCCAGCTTTAGAGGAGACGGAGGCCAATTTTATTGAGCTTCAGAAAACAGTGACTTGCTAAGCAAAAATCTCCAATCTGATGCTTAGAAAAACGGTTACTAGTCAACATAGACTGGTTTTCTACGTATAACTTTATAAGTTTGGATATCCTGGGCATTTTATGCGATGTGCATGATTTTAGTGCACTGAGCTTGTATTAAGAATTTTTTCTAAGATACGCCACGGCGCGCTCAAATGGATCCAAAGACTCATCCAAAACGCATTCAGGGATATCTTAAAACCATTTCGTGATATCTTGAATGCATTTAGTGATATTTCTAAATAAGTTCCAAATACGTATTAAGTTGATATCATAATATCTCGAGTTTATTTTAAAGTATATGCAGAAATTATAAACTTTTGTGATCTTGCGATGATTTCTCAGGCAGTAATTTTCAAATCGACGTTAGTTATATCTTTAAATAAACAATTATAGTAACCATTGCTTCAAATTGTATAGTAAACAAACGGCTGACTCTATTTTGAAAGAATCGAAAGCCATCTGTTTATCTGAAATATGTTTCGCTCATGTTCGTGATGACTGTGTGCTGACTGTTTTTATTATTGCTCTACAAAAAGGCTAATCGTGTTCGTCAAGATGCACAAATTAGAACCAAGGCTTGTGGTTTTATAGAATCAAGTTGCTAGTGGTAACTTTAACGGAGAGGATTGATTAATTGTGATAATTTTTGATTTGTTACGCATTCAAGTACAAAATAAGAACTAGAAATTCTTGTATCTATCACTCAATATGAAAGTGGTTGACATTAATGATTCTGTTGTTACGGCTCTTTGAACCTGCCTTTTGTCTCTTCCGCCGACAGCAAGATCAAGCGCTTATTGGTCAGGTACGCACGACCTTGGGTCATTTCAGGCTTTGGTGGTACCGCAACATCGCTTTTTGTATCGCCAAGATACTGGAACACTACCTTATGGAAGGCTATGTGATTGTCAGATACAGTCTCCTCTGAAAACAGAACACCTGTTGGAAGAAATTAAACCTTTGTGAGTTTTGCTGGTGTCTTTTTGTCTTGTCTGTTACGTACAATGCTAGTACGTAATAGTATAAAATGTAAGACTTTCTTGACGACTGACAACAAAGGAGATGTTGGGTCGAGGTACTTGCACTTGAGGGACCTCCAATTTGGGGTATGGCAATTGCAATAGCAATGGCAATGTTGCCCAAAATCAAAAGCAATTATCTGATCAGTACAAAGTTTGAGATACCCTTCAGGCACGAAGTCTTATTGGAAACATGAGTGCTACTCACCATCAAGCAACACATCGTATTCCATCTGACAGCTATGAGGCAGCTCCAGGTTACTTGTTGCCGTCATGACTTCCGTCAGCGCTCCCTGGACACATCCTGTAACCTCGAAACCACTTTTTGGATGTTGGACCCCAAGACTGTGGAGAAGTGTGTTGGACGCGGGGTTGAAGTTGAAAAGAGCCAGCTGTTCCTGTGAAGGGGGCGAGGGTGGCGGCTGGACCACAGGCTGAACCTGGACGAAGGTATTTTCGTAAAATGTTTTATCAAAAATAATGTGAGTTCTAATGACATCATGTCAAAGCCCGTAGGTCACCGTCTCAACTGTGCATAGGCCAGATGCAGATTAAATGCACGAAAGAAGGAACGTTTTTTGAAAAGGTGAGGGAAGCACTGAATTACAAGGATGTACACACACTGCTTTTTCAACTTACTGAGAACAGAACAAAAATCAATCGATCACTGGAATGGAATGCAAAAGGAAATCAGTCTAAATCATTGTGTTAAAAATCCTTTCAAAAGTGATGTTTATTTCATAAGACTTTGGAAGTTTCAGTAATGGGGCTCCCACTTTCCTTTCTTCGTATAATGCGATGACATATTAACCTGTGCTCTTGGGGCCTGTTGCTGCACCAGTTGAGCGGGCTGCTGTTGCACATATTGTTGCTGGTGCATGCGCTGCGTGCCTTGCGGATGCGGCTGATGCTGAGTGCTCCCTTGTTGCATGGCCAGCTGCTGTTGCAGTGCGTACTGCCGTTGTTGCATCGCGTACTGTTGCTGTTGCTGCATGGCCGCGGGCTGATGTACCTGTTGTTGTACAGTCTGGTTTTGCCCCAGTGATGGCGGGGGCTGCTGGGTGTACTGTGGGCCTTGAGTACTGGGCGGATTTCCAGGCTAGCACGGAGTTGAGAACAAATATAAAAACGACACGAAAGTGTCGTTTATTAATGCAACCTCACACAAACGGTGTCTTGAAATTTACAAGTACTATGTGAATTTCCGACGGTCACGTGGGTATTTTTATTGGGTCTACTTAGTTTTTCCCTAAGTTTTGTTTCACTTTTGCCTTAAGAAGGTTGTCCATTGGTTGAGAAATAAAGATTGAAAAATACTGAGCAAAACCTACTCATTTTGGGGATATGCCAAGGCTCAAATACAGAGATTATACACCACCATCTGGTTAAAAGTAGGCAGCACCTCCGTAATATAAAGTGAAGGAGTATAATTATGACGCTATGGAGAAAGATCCTGTCATTTGATTTCATTTCAAGCGAACCAATGTTAACGTTACTAGATTCTAGTTTCCACCAGTAAGTGCCTCTGTGTCGGTAGTTTATGTCATTCGTTTTATTCCTTCATAGAAATGATTTTTGTCCTCTGTCTCAAAATTACAGCTTTCAGTCGCTGCATTTCAAGTATTACTTCTAAACGGAAGACAAATTTATTTTCCCCTTTCTTTTGAAGTTTTCGAGGATTTTAAGAAAATAAACTTTAAGAGCAAGTGCCCTAGGAGATCAAGGGACTGGTACCTCAACCAAGTTCATTGATAAAACAGGCTAAAGTATAGTGAGTACAACTGAGTTTCAGGTGTTTCATTCGATAAGATTTTTTCACTATGTATTGGGTGGTGCTTATAATTGTCCTTGCAATGCACGATTCATTTTTGCTACGCTGGGGTGAGGAGCAGATTGGTTCTAAATTAAGATGCTAATCAGAAAGAGTTATTACTCGTCCAATAGAGGGTTTGCATGGCTACCCGTTTGCAGGCCAATGTTTTAAGTTGCTCCACAGGATGTGCACTAACGAGGTATCCCCGTGGAACAAACGAACTGCTCTGCAAGATGGCTAACACGCAAAGTCTATATTCTCTAAGCCAACTAAAATCCTTATTTTGGCCGGAAAGGCTTCACAAAAAGCATGGACTATACACATCAAATCCTAAAGCGACTAGGATTCCAGCGTTAGATTAAGCGCTTCGGATAGAATTTGGACATTTAAGATCAATCAAATGCACTTTCATTTCCAAAGTAATCAAACACTTTCAGTATGGTACAAGTACCATTAGAAAATTTGACTTCTTTTTTACAAAATGGTAAAAACGGAATCAAAAGCAACGCAAGATTTCTTCCTGGCAGACAATTTACCGAGGCCTCAATTTCTTTATATACCTGTGGGGCGTGCAGAGTTTGTGTCTGGTAGGGAGAAGAGCGACCGCTGGAAGGTTGGGAACCAGGCTGTAGACTACTGGGTAGCAGACTACCAGTCTGTGTCAGAAAAAAAGTAATCACTGAGTCTCTTCGAACCTAACTTCAACTGCTTTTGAGCATATCAAGATTACTGGTGGACAGCAGGAAATTAATATTGTAACGTCTCTCTTGGGGTAGGGAGTCGTTATCATAAAGAATGAGAGTCATTGGACTGACTTATACACACACACCACTGTTGTATTCTGAAGAAATATTTACATCTTCTCCATATTTACAATGAGCAACTGCTACTAGTAAGGCTGGGTATTAAGTACTGCTCGTCCACATCTGAGCCATTTATTCGGGAGTGATAGAAAATTTGTTCATATCGGAGCTATGCACCCACGAACGGTCAGGGAGTTTTTTCCACAGCTGCCCGTTTGGGAATGATCGTAGCTGACCGCTGGAGCTGGTTGCTCTGTATGGGTGCAGACCACTAATTCAAGTGAGAATTTTTGCCCAGCTCATTAGCATTAAAAGTGCCCCCACGGTATCTTTTGAAAAAGGAGATTGTTTGGCCCCCAAAATGGCGAGATTGTGTAAATCGTTGCCATGATCAACTCCCTGGGTCTTTGAGCTTTCATATGAGAGCAGAAGGGCTAAAAAGTACGGTTGAAAAATGGTCCTAAGTGCCCGAGAAAGTTGA